TGAATGACGCTACTCGGGTCCTGTATGCGCGTTTCGGAGACGCAGCACACATCGACGGCGTGGGATTCTAAAGTCCTAGCTAAGGAAGCCTGCTGTCCTATTTGGCACAGTGTTAGGACGTTAAAAGCTCCTATGTGTAGTTTAGAGCGTGGTTTCAGGAGACCAGGAATAGCGTTCCGCGTACTCGAATCGTTTGCCCTAGCGGTGCGAGGTGATAAAGAGACGTGAGGAGGGTTAGTCATGGAGATAAGAGAGGTATTAGGAGGTGTAGGACGGATTTGAATGTGACCAACTTGGTTTCGTGCGCTGTTACGGGTATGAGGGCTGATATCATTTCCCGGCTGCCCACACCGTGGAAGGGTATTTCATGAGGAACCTGAAAAAGAAGTCGGATTAGTGTTGGTCTTAACGACCTGGGAGCGTGACCGCAGAGCCCAAGGGACAACTGCTTGAGGCCGGTCGCGCACGGCCCTTTCGTGGAAGGTCTTTAATGTGTTAGCTCCGTTCTTCAAAGGGCTTTACCGCCGGAGACGGAAATCCGTGAGGCAAGGTGAGGTGTGACATTTTTAGGGTTGACCTTTTCTAACCCCACCCCTCCTTGTGGGAAGGCAGCATCGCTGCAGATGCTGGTTGTCCGAGGGAAACACCTTACTGCTGTCACACCCCTCTACAGTCAGCAGTACGACTTCGCCCTCAAACCTTGAGTTGCTGATTTTAGTCTTACCGTTCTCCAATCGACCTGCCTGGCATGGTAGAACCTACAGGAACATATGTTCCAGCCAATATAGCTCGGTTGGGTCATCACGATAGGCAAGCCCGACCACCGCGTCAAGGTAGCAGCTTCGGTCGGGAATGGGCCTGTATTACAAAGGTTGTATACGACTATATTAAATATATTAGGCAAATTTGGTTTAATGTTGATATCAATAGTTTTTTTTAATTCCTAACCAATCCACAATGTAAGGCCTCATGTCATTAAAATACAATGATAATGAAGAACAGATAAGATAAATTTTGTAAAACACAACTGTTACTGATTTTACAAAAAGTCAATCCTTACTTTCTGATTTGGGCAGTTGTGTTAACCAAAAGAAATGTACTTGTTTAGGAAACCAGACAAGCTTGCGAACTGTCCAAACGTTTTTTGGTCAACTAAGAAACGTTTTCACTTCTTGAGACAGAATTTATGCAATGAAATTTGAAATCACTATCTCAAATATAATGAATATCTGGTCATGAAAACACTACTCATGTCAGTGTAACGAGACTGTTTTATTTACTTCATAGGGAAAATCAAATCGGCAGTTTAGAAGAAATAAAGAAACTATCTAACCTCCAGTGTTTACGTACAGTGATTTTAACAGGTAACTTTATCAAATATTTACACATAATACCTCCCTTTAATAATCATTATAAACTAATGATCAAGCATTTCCCGAATTGCGCAAGTTAGAAACTACATTCAAAATTAAATCGAACATCTCATTATTAAATGTTCATTGTCATGAGTTCATGTTATCTTATATCGTAACAATACGATATCAGAGTTCCAGAGATAGTCCTAAACCTTGTCGCTGATATAAAAAAGTTTACTAGTTTGTTCCTAAAACTTAAGCATCTTAAGAACTCACATTGTAAATATAAAGACAAAATATCTTTACTTCCTATATTTTGCTTGACACTAGCTGATCTTAGTTCAATGTTCGCTATTATTTCAGAAGTCATAAATCTACTATTTTTGATCGAAGCTACAGAGTCTATGCTAGGAACAATAACACTACATCTACGACTTGTCGACACCTTATTTGTTTAGTTTAGCATGATTTTCACATATTGCTAATAGTATTATTTCGATCGCCAAAGATGTTTCTACCTCGAAATTAAGAACTTATCTAATTTAGAAGTTTTGGAACTAAAGATTTCCAAACATAAAACGTATGTGGTTGGTGTTGGTAGGATCAGTCTATGATGTTGATTAATAAAGTTACTTCGTGTTGGGAAGTCATATGAGTGAACCGTAAATTGGAGGAAGTGTCTACTAAAAAGTTTGCCTGGATTAAGTTAAGCTACTAGACAGCATTCTCTTTTTTCGTAGAATATATTACCAATTTCTTTAGTTTTGTTTGTCCACCATCCATTACACTCCTCTAAACCAGTATTTTCCTTATTTGCACGTACTAACGATAAGTTTAATGTTAAACTGTACATCTACTAACGTATCCTCTGCTTAATTAGTTATTTTGACCGACCAATTAAAAACTGATAAGCATCCACACTAAGTAGTCGTATAAATTACTGTGATAATATTTTCGAAAGTTATGCCTAGTGGCTAATTTATCCTTCAACCTGATAATTACGTGGTGTGTATTGACCATCTGTAGATAATCCAGTTTATGATGTCAAAGATTACCGACTAGAAGTTCGCGTTTGTTTGGTCAATTTAAGGCGACTTGATAAAGATATCTATACGATGGAAGAAAATGAAGAGGCCGATGAATTGGCTATTCAAAGAATGCTACCAACCTAATTTTCAAAACGTAAGTTACATTAAGTTATTTTGATAGATTTATAGTATAGGGCTGAAAGTATTCCCTTAAGTTACTTATTTAGTTTTATAAGTGAAATCAAAAAGCCCTTAACCATGAGAGTGTCTAGATGGAACTTTGTTGAGTAAAATCGACGATTAAATATGAGTGGTTGGTTTTATTATAAAAAACTTGAGCTAACACTGAATCTGCCAAACTAGTGGGGAAATAAACCCCTTAATGCTGGGTTCCGTAGATTTGTGTTACTAAACTCAAATATTTGTGAACAAATATCTCACCACTGTTCCAAGACGATGTTGCTTGTGAAACACTACTCAACTTATGAATATTACATTTTAAGCAATGGTTTACGCAGATTGTAGGAAATTAGACACTAGGCAATCCACTTAAGTAGGTTTTAACTCTGGTCTACGCTGAGAATGAATTTTACAAGTTTGGGCTGAAGCGAGATATACAGGACTGCAAACAAATATCATAACGGACATTTTGCTTTTTGCTAATTATTTTGATATTACAGGAACGTGGATCAACCTTTTATGAGCGTTTGTCAGTTTCCCAGGAAACATCTTTACAAGTTTTTCAAGCGTTTACATGTATATTTTTACTCCAACACTTCAAATAAGTTTTATAATACAGTTTATCTAACATAAAACTGGCTTTTAATGCTTTATCCTACATTGAATTATAAAGTAGTCAGACGGAAACTATCTTGTATAACATGTGGCGCCAAAGGTTTCAGAATGAATTCACATACGTTGACTGCACGTTTAATAGAACAGTCTGTCATACATTCACGTATCAAGAGAGTACTCTCATCATTTAATCCAGTAATTAACAGAAAATGTTAAATGAGATTAATTTCCGATATTTATTACACCTATACAATAAACCCTATAAGTCTCCATAAACAAAACAGATTCCCCCAAATTCTGTAGTAACTTCGCGTAATGTTTTGAAAAAATCAAATTATTAGTCTGGACGATTTTGGACTCCAGTTTAAAACTATAAGAATTCTAAAGACCATCAGTCGAAAAGTGTGAATGTGTACAAACTATACACACTAGTGTAGTCGTATTCATTCTTCGTTACTTTTGGAATTCAGAATACTTTTCGTTAGGTTATTCATGTATTACCTGACGTTTCCTTTAGTAATCTGTCGCAAAATATGGCATCTGAGACCACTGCACTGCGATTCAAAAATTCAAAGTTACTACATTCTGTGTTAAAAAGGGGTGCATCTACAAAAGTACACACTGTGGATTGCTACGAAGACCGTATACTTTATCTCGTTGCTCGTTTCCCCTCTTAAATAATCTAATACTGTTAATTGATGACCCAGAACCATGATATTTCAAGATGAAAAATTAGAGCACAGGGAAGGTAGCTTGTGAATAGTCGTTTACACAAATGATTTTACCAAATTTACAAACGGGTCGAAAGACCGAGCCTTAGTATTTACTAGAAGACGACAAAATTACGCCTCTACAACCCCAAGTAAGTTAGCGTTAGGAGTGATCCCATATACTAAAAGGATCTTCACATAGAAGCACATCTGTAGGCCATTGTTTGCATACTTTTAAAAGAATGAAACATTTATAATAAACTATGGAGTCTTTAGGTTTTCGGACCTCAGATAGTCTTCAGCATACCTCATTATTTTGTCTAAACCTGTGTGGTTTTAAGCAAAGTAGAACTTAGTACAAGGGCTTTGGACCAAGTTTCCATATTACATCAGTTTAAAGATTTCAAATCATTAGGGTGAATACTGAAGCAGTGTTGCAAGTCATATTAATAAAAGATTAGGAACTACACTGCATAAGCAAAAAAAACTACGCGAAAGTAGCATATATCGCAATGACTCCAGATCATTACTGTGAGATTCAACCACAATTTTCAACGAGATTACTCATTGTTATTGAACTAAGAGGTTTGTTCCGAACCTAGATATGGGATCTATAAAGTTATTGGTTATCGGTCTAAGAGGTGTGTTTCTAAGTTGAGATCTGCCAAAAAAAACTGTGATTCACGTATACAGGTCAGATGACATGAGACCATCGCTTCCTCTGTCCTGAGTTAACTCTCTGTATTACCATATACTGATTTCGTTTTTAGACCTCACTTCTGATTTACTTCTGCTTTTAGAATTATGAGATTTATTGTGTTGTAGTTTCTTTTTTTTCTAAAAATATATGTAAAGACCTATGTGGTGGATTTGCGAAAAACGCAGATCACTGGGATGTATGCATACCAAACCGTTTCTTTTTCGAAAAATCTACGTATGTTTTGCAAACGATGAGTTTTAGAACGCAACAAAGCATATAATTCCAATGAAATGAAATCTTGATAATTTACATATACACAACATTAATAAAACTTTTACTAACATGGATCAAATTACTTTCACAATCTACTTTAGAAGGCAAGCATTTCGAAAAGCGTATATTACTAATGGAATCAAAATGACCCTTTCCCGGATGACAAGAAAGCAGTTGCGCCGGCAGCGAGTAACATCGATACAGAGTAATTCCTAATTTATTAGTTAAGGAAATGGAAAACATTAAAACTACATCTCGTCATACGTAAATTACTTTGGTAATAGCATTGCCTTGTGATTGATATTATGAAACACCAAGCAAACTTTGAAACTCGGTTTCATTTTACAACTACCCCAAATGAAGGTAATGAGATGAAAAAGCAAGGAAAAACAAGCTAGTGGTCTTTCACGTTTTAAACGAACGTTAAGTATCATAGTACACCTTTAGACTTACTGCGGTCAAAAACAGAGTATGTTGTCAAATAATCGTAAAATTGTTAGCAAGCTAAAAATTTTCATGTGAAATGACTAGTGGGATTGATCAGATGACGGACAACCTAATAATTCATCTAAGCACGACGATTATGAACTATAAACACGTACCTGATTATAACTAAAACAGTCGAGGTAAAATTAAAGTGCTTTATGTTTACAGAGAAGGTAAGATGTAAAAAAGCCCATTCATAAGCAAACCACCCGACAATACAGCTGAAACCGAATACAAGCAGGACATTAGGCAACTGGAAAACAGGATTCTACCAAATGGTACTGTTAGAAAAGGCAAAGTAATAAAACCCATGCCTTGCCTTATGAGTCGTTTATGAACAGTCCATATTCACATACTCGACACTCAACACCCGTTAGGATAGTGATCGCAGTTATTGTGTTAGATGAGTTCAAAAAGAGAACACGGTCATTAACGACTAAGCATTATAGACAATCCTCTAAGTCAATGGTTTCTATCAATCAATTTCCCAGAAAATAGCAACACAGTAGAAAATGAACTAGAAAAATACAAAATGACGCATGAGGTATTGTTCACTATGTGAACGATTCTGGCAACACTTTAAAAGGATACACTTGATTCGAGAAATGATGAAGGACGGCAGAAAGTAACAGTAAGACTAGGAGAAATAGACAATTATTGTAAAATATTGAGAAAGTCGTAGATTCGTAATCAGCAACCTTTTTAGTTCGTTCACGGACACTGGGAAAATTAATTAAAAGTCACACTTACACATCCTCTCTGTTCTTCTTCGACAACTTTTTGTCTTTACCAGCTTCGTTATTGACTTCTTTGGTAATTGCTTCGGTTCGACGGATAGCAATCCTAAAGACAATGTATGACACGACAAATAATCACTTTTCCATCAAAGGCGTTTTTGAATTTTTGTATGCGATAGATATGAGGAAGGTTGAGGCCAGTGAAATGATTACATACAAGAATGAATTAGCTATCAGAGGCATTTTGTGAACGCCCCAAAATAACCCTAGTAAAGTTAGGTTTATATTTTTACAACATACAGGTAGGAATGGAAGATATCATAATTGCGTTAACGTAAACTAGCTTCTCAGAACTCTTCGAAGCTGCTTGACTGTATTCTTCCAAGAGTCTTTCATCCTCCTTGGTAATTTTAACGACCATCGCTGTGTAACGTCACCTTTGAATTGGTCGTTTGTTACGTATTGTCCTCTGAGCCATGCAAACAATAAACCACCAGAATATACGTATTTTACCTATCATATTCAAACAATAAACTTCATCTTCTAAGTTTAACTGACAAATCAATGATTTAGTATCCATCTCCGTTAACAGCTTAAGTCTATGTCAATAAACACAATGTCGCATTTGAAGGAATTAAGGAAGATCATTATCAAATATCGATCCCTCAGAAACCTGATCAGTAACGGCCTCAGTTCTTCCCCTGTTTATAAGATTTAGTGAATAAATCCCCTAAATAAGTGGTTGTATAAGTCTTCAACATTAATGCTGACTTCGTTAGTTTCACTGGACACGGCCTGGCTGAAGGCGCTGGGTTTAAACGGTTCAGTTTCAGTTTGGGAAGGACAGGAGGCTCGATGGCCTATGTTAGTCCTGGCAATGGTGGGCTCTCAGTTGATCCAACTTTCTTTTGAAAGAGTCGACAGATGGAGCCTCAACCACTTGCTGAGGTAATGAGTTCCACTCGTTGATGATTCGATGGGAAAGTCGATAGTCAGCTGACAAGTAATTTGTTCTCGGCTTATGAACCTTTTTGGAGTGTCTTCGTAAATTCTTTGTTTTGGAAGACAAGAAAAATGAGGGCATGTTAGGTGCAAATTTATCACTAAGCAATTTGTAGACTGTAATCAAGTCGCCTCTAGTTCTGCGATATGACAACGGGAAAAGGTTCAGCTTGGCCAGTCGAGATTCATACGGAAGCTTCGCTATTCTGGGAATCAGCTTAGTCGCCGTTCTCTGAACCTTTTCCAGGAGCTCACTGTCTTTTTTAAAGCAGGGGCTAGCCGCTTGTATGCAGTACTCAAGTTTAGGACGAACGAACACTGTATATAAAGTCAAAAAAGTTTCAGCGTCGACATGACTAAAAGCCCTACGTATTGACCATAACGTTCTAAAACCTTTGGCGGCTATTTCGCAGCAGTGTGCAGTAGTCTTTAAGTCTTGACTAACGATAACTCCCAAGTCATTATATGTCTGGACGACAGGTAGCTCAGTGTTATTCATAGTGTATGTATCTGTGCCTTGATGACCGATATGCATCACAACACACTTGGAAGTATTTATCGACAACTGCCATGTTTGAGATCATTCAGATAACTTCTTCAGGTCATTTTGAAGTTCTAAGCTATCACTCTTACATCGTATCGTTCTCCATATCTTGACATCGTCAGCATATAGCAAGACCGATGATGATAGGAGACAAGGAAGGTCATTTACATACAAGAGGAATAGCACTGGCCCCAAAACTGTACCCTGGGGCACTCCACTAAGCACAGTTTCCCAGCTAGATAACTTTGAGTTCACCCTTACTCTTTGTTGACGCCCAACTAAGAAGTCTTTTATCCACATCAATAAATTGCCTCCAATCCCGACTTTTCTTAACTTATATAACAGCCGGTTGTGCGGAACTTTATCAAAAGCTTTACTGAAATCAATGAAGGCGACTGGACTGGACTGACGCGTCCTCATGACTGGCAGTTATATGGAAGTCGAAAGTTAAAACTGCGTGGTCACTTTTACCTAAGGGTGGCATATGGTGGAGGTTCGCAACATCATCCTCATAGTGAGTCAGTATAAGATCTAATAAGGATGATTCAGTGTCCGGATCGTACCTAGTCGCTTCTTTCACATGTTGCACTAGGGCACATGTGATAACCGCACCAACTAGTTCCTGCGATTAATAAACATGATGATATATTAAAACAAACAAAAATAGATAACTTGTTGAAATATGTAGATGGCAGGAACAGATGCCCGAGCAGGCCGCTCATTACGTCAGGAAGTGTGTAACATAAGCTGGTTAGTTGTCGTAAGCCATGCTCAGCGTATCTTATGGGTATGTGGTTTTAAGCAGTCTGGAATGATTTGGTTTCGAACCCGCTAGACTCCCTAGTCTGTACACCTTTAGCAAGGTGACCCCGGCCATATTTTGAGGCATGGGTTGATTAAGCAGCTGCCTAATCAGTACAATGTCAAGCTCAAAACGAGCTTTAGGTTCAGAGCTCTCGCTCTCCTTGATTCTATGAAAAATAGCCGATCTGTCGCTATGATTAGCTTTCGATTTTTCAACTACTTTTATGGGGGCAGGGTTCCCATTTATATCCCTACTTTTCTTCCTTACAACCTGTACCCATTCGTCAACGGTGCTGGTAGAAGCTATAACAGTTGCGTCAAACCTAGCGTTGGATTTTGGGGGGTTGTTGACGACCTGAGAGGTCGGGTTATGTTTACCGCTTGAAACCGATCGAGCCTTGCGATTGCGGCTCCTAGGTGTTTCCTGTTGGATCCCATCTGGGAGACGGGGAACAGAAGACCCTACTTTTCTTGAGCTTTTGTTTAAGGTAGGCCCCTTTGGAGACTGCTTTTTCTTCTTTGACGGGCGTGAGTCAGATATCATCGAACTAACCTTAGTTTCCTTCACGTTGATTTGCATGTCGACAGATCGAGTGCTGTTTGACGCGTTTCGACTATACTTGCTAAAACATTTCTTTGCAGCATCAACCAGTGAGATGGCCTCGGTTAACAAGCTGTTTGCATCCGAGCAGCACTGTTGACAAAGCCATACACAACCTTTCTTACTGAACCGTCTGAAAGCAGCAGGCGTTAAGTTCGTGCAAACTTCGCGGTACCAACTTTTGCACTCGTCGCACTGCATTACGCTTTCAACAGGATAACGACAACCCGGACGTTGGCAACTGCTTTTTTTACACTGCCCGGTCATTTAGGAGGGGTTCTTTTTCAAGATGCGATGATACTTAGAAACAAAAAAATGAAGAGCTGTAGATTGCTAGGACCAAAAGTACTCACAGATACAGTTGAAAAAGAGGTACTCAAGAGTACCAACGACAAAACTAATTGAGAGAACAGTAAAAACGATACTCTAGTCGAATACTTCAACTGAAATAAATTCAATTAAAGTGAAAACAGTAGTCTTGATACGTAATAAACGACCAAAACAAACAAATTTACTCAGCGAGGAAAAATACCACTGTCCTTTTTAAAAAGCGCGTGTTCAAATGGTTGTGGACGGAATAGAAGAAGCTTTCGCTTAACAGGCTTCCGTGTCTAGTAGCAGGGGATCACCAGATCCTACAGGCAGAAGCCTAGGTATGTTAACAATAAAAGAGGAAAAGAAATTGGTAAATCATATTGTGATGCTGTCCTTGGTCCTTAAGAATGGGTCAAGTTGCCTCTTGAAGTACTCCTGAGAAGTCGCTTGGACTAGCTCGGCCGGCAGCGAGTTCCAGCATTTGACACCTCTTAAGGAATAGAATTTATGTTTATAGTCCGTTCTGCTATGTTGTGTCTACAGATTCTGGGTTTTACCCCTTGGGTTAGTGTTCGAACTAAGCTTAAGTAGGTATTTAAGAGGATGTCCAGAAGTGTTAAGAATACTATAAGCCACGAGTAGATCACTTCTAAGACCCCTATACTCTAATGGGTAATGGTTAAGTGGATGGAGGCGCTCTTCGTAAGGTTTAAATTTGAGTCCTCGAACTGATTTCGTGGCTCGCCGTGGGATACACTCCAAAGTGTCCTTATCCTTTTGGAGTGAGGAGGCAAATACTATGTTTCCGTACTCCAAGTGGGGACGGATGAAACTACTGAAGATTATATGGAAAGTTCTTCTGTCGAACTGGCCAAAAAAGCGCTTCAACGTTACCAGTGCAAGGTTTGCTCGGAAGGCATTTTTGTCACAGCGTAAGACTTTAAATCGTAGGGCACCAGGACTCATATGCTGTTCGAAAGATAACAAGAGTTTTGTAGTGATCATTGCATAAATGCTCGATATTTGAATCTATGATTTGTTGTGAAACCTAGATTACCATGTATGTGAACAACAGGTGATCAAATATTTTTAAAATATGTTTCCTCATGTCTTTATAGCCACTAAACTACATAATACAGTTGAAGAATTTTTTTCATGTTGAGCGCGTACTCGTTTATTCAACCGATACAGTCATTCTAAACGTTTATGATGAAATTCACTATTTTTAAGCCTTAAAGATGCCACAGGTGGTGCCTTGACTACTGCGAGGAGTTGTGCACGTCTGTCGATCACGCCGTACTCGGAGAAGTTGGCTTCTGCTTGGCAGAACCAGGCTTTGATGTTGTCTGGATAGAAGGGCATCAGTTGAAACGAAGGTGGGTGTCTGTTCAGTCTTAGTGAAATATCAAGTACGAGAATGAACGAGTGAAAAGAAAATATATATCAAAAACACGGGAAAAACGTATCACAATGTATAAAAATTAAAGTAAGCCAATGATATATAAAATCCCAAGAAGGAACAGACTCACAGTTTGCAAATTGGTGTACCAGATCACGTCAGCCCCACCAATGAAGATGCCACAGGTATTTGGAGTTTGACAACGCTTTAAGCAGTAACGCCTTCTAATATGAATCGTCCCAACCACGTGAAATCAAAAGACAGAGGCGAGGAGGTTCGAAGGTATATTTGATAGGCTATCAATATATTGAGGATCGTTTGATCTAATTTGGCTAGCGATTGCAGGGGTTGTTGAGCACGGCGTTCCCACTCGTGATCTGGTACGGATGCATGACCGAGAGACTTTAGCTAGGTGAGTTCATTGAAACTAATGTGAACAGCATCCAATGTCGAAGACTTACAGAGCTATTTATTTTGGGGATTTATTTACAGCTACAGACCACTCCCCCCTAGTGGGGTAATGATGACTCTAAGACGTGGCCAGCCAGAAGTTTAAACCCAACGGGTTTGTCGCTGAGAAACACATCTGATAGCTTGCTATGTCTAGCAGCGTCTGGTCGTCTTTTCTTATTATAAGGGACCATTTACTACAATCTAGTAAAAAAATAATGTACAATGAAAATTTTTGGTTCCTCGTAAACCTCATCGTTTTTTATCGTCTTTTCCAGCCGTCCTGGAAAAGAAAAAAGAATATGT